CCAGGTACCTGCAGAACATAATTTCCTCACTAAAATTTATATTTACGCTATCTAGGATTTACAGTGGCTATTAATGCGTCGTAAGGCTACTACCCTTGTTACAGATATCTTATTTCAAACTTTATTTTATCACTGTCACCTGCGTTACCCTTATTCCAGCACTCATTCATTAATTTATTTTGTTTATCTTTGGTTGTATAAAATTTAATTGCATTTGAATATTGCTTTTCAATAAATATATGGTTAACCTTCCGAGTGCATATTTGTTGCTGAATTCTGATAACTCCGTAGACTTATTAAGTAAGTTTATTTCCATTACGTTATGATTTATTGACCTGGCGCCCAAAAAACTCACCAAACCGAACCCATACCTTCCCGCTGAGCGCTGGCAATCCTATTTTTCTACAAAAGTTGTATGTAGCACACTCGACACTAAAAGCTTCAGAAATCCCACAGCGGTCATTCTGGGCATATGATTTTCTTAACTTCGTTACCACTTACCAATGGGGTAGAGCGCCACTCAATTTCAATCTTAACCCTCGCCGTGGAAATTGAGAGGATACGAGGGTAGTAATAACAGCAGAATCAATTTAGCTATTAAAAGATTGTTTGGCATATGTCGCGGCCCAGCCAGATGGCAACAAAGTAGTGGTTAAACTGTGAAACACCCTTGATAGTGCCTACCAGGGACGCATCCTCACGACCGTTGACTAAATCCCGGGAGAGGCAGCGACGCCAGGCATATGTCAAAGTACCAAGTATCAAAAGAAATGTTCGTTTATTCTCACTGTCAAATTGCAAAATGAAATTGTCTCCACAATCGGATAGAGTATCCCACACATACAAAATATTCCCCAAATTTTCAATAGTAACGGGCGATCAAAAATGAGTTGCTGTCGAGTCGCCTTTGGAAGTTCAAGTTAAGTACGATTTCCCATATAAACAACAATTCCAAAGGTAACTCGACAGCAACTCATTTTTGATCGCATAGTATTTTACATTATTAGCCATGTAAGTGAGTGGTTTAGTGGCGATAGAAGTTGACTGGCAGCCGTTCCAGCACGCGCGCGTAGATACTTTTGCAATTCAGCATCTTAGACCTTGGGAAATCCCAGCATCATGACCTTGGGAAATTCCTGGACAACGACCTTCGGGAAATGACAAAGTCATGACTTTGTGACGTAACCGGAGAAACATCGTTGAGAAAAGAATAAACAAAAATTGTACCAATTTAATTTGAAAAAGTTGGTATTTATTTATCAATACCTAACCACCATCTTGAATTTTATTTTGACATTTCCGTTTTTCTTAGTTTTTTTATGTAATTAACGGAGTTTTGATCACCATTCAAAACTAGGCAGCCTTGT